TTAAAAATTCAGCACTTCAATATCTATAAGCTTATTGAAATCAAATACCTGGGTAAGTACATCATTCCCAGTCTTTTGTTTTATTAAAGAGGGAAGTAAAATGACAGAATGCCTTTTATATGCCAAGAGCTTTTGAACAAATATATCATTCAACGCTTTGTATTACCCCACGATGCACAGTCCATTTCACCAAGGAGATAGGGAAAGCACTTGACCTGCGTCACTGACATCGTCTAGGGACAGGAGTCTTGTGCATCATGCTGTGCACACCACGGTAGTGAGGTCTTTCCTCTTTGTTCCCTTGGTGGCCAGGGTCTCAGGTGGGACCTAGGATTGGTAAGCTGGGTGCAGCTAGCTGGGGCTTGGGCTTTGCAGCATAAAGCACAAAGACGGAGGGAGGATTAGGCATCCTTTGTGGCAGTGGTGATGAGTCTGACGGTGGGCAGCGCTTAGCTGCAGTGTCCTGAGGCTGAACCTCGTCACCACACTTTCTGAGGGTAATTCTTCTTCCAGCAGTCCGCGGTCTCCAGCCTAATTTCCAAGTCGGCCTCTTGGAAACTCTAGCCAGTTCTGGAGTACTTCTTTAGAAAATTCCAGTCCGGGTGGATAGAACCAGAGTTGGCACGGTGCTTTCAACCAGGTGCTCTGGGTGAAATGTGAGGAAACTGGCCCCAAGGTCAACGAGTTTGTTCAGGAGCCATAATTGGTAAAAGGCAGTGTTCTGGCTGGGCCGGCTGTGCTGTTGTGTTTCCTTGATTCTGTGCTGCCTGGAGAATTCCACAAAAGGGCAGAGAGACAGAGTAAGCATGGAGCATAGACGAGAGGGGTGAGTGAAGAAGAACAGTTACCCCAAGTCCGTGTTCAAAGACACACACGTAAATAAGCAAGTCTACTCAGGCCAGAGAGGGAGCTGTGTTCAAATAGATCTCATCACCATATAATAAGTTGGAAAATGTGAGTCTTAGCTATATTTATGTCATAGTAAATGTTAGTTCTGGGTTTGAACTTGAGTCTGCAAAAAAGAAACCTGCTCATTCATTAAGCCCCACGGCTTCACCATGAAATTTAATCAATCAATGAACATGTTTCCATTGTCAATTTTCTATTAACCTCATCATGACCCTAGAACAACACTGTCAATGTGTTCTTGTTTTTTTTCCCTTCTTGTTTGTGATCTTACATTTTTGTCCTTGAATGTGTCACCTGTCTCTTTTTCCTTAGGCTTGGACATTGCCAACACACAGGACTATATTCCCTGCCAATCTTCCTGTATTATCCATTTCTACAAAGGATCCTGACACGGTAGCCATTGGGCTGGATGGGGGCGGGTCAGGGGGGATTCAAAGCTGTCAGAGAACTAACTGAAGAACTCAACAAAGAAAAGAGACTAGCTGGCGGGTAGTGGCATACGCCTTTAATTCCAGTACTCAGGAGGCAGAGGCAGGCAGATTTCTGTGAGTTCAAGGCCAACCTAGTCTAAAAGAGCTAGTTCCAGGACAGGCTCCAAAGTTACAGAGAAACCCTGTCTCAACAAACAAACAAACAAACAAACAAACAGAACAACAACAACAACAACAAAGAGGGTTAGAGAGATGACTCAGAGGTTAAGAGCACTGACTACCCTTCTGGAGGCCCCGAGTTCAATTCCCAGCAACCACATGGTGGCCCACAACCATCTGTAATGAGATCTGGTGCTCTCTTCTAGCCTGCAGGCATACTTGGAGGCTAAACACTGTGTACATAATAAGTAAATAAATCTAAAAAAGAAAGAAAGAAAAATTCAGAGACTTACCTCCTTGAAGAGCTTCCGACTAAAATGGTGGTTCGTACTCCTCTTCAGGCTGGCCTGCCTCTACCTCCCCTGTGGTTGCAAGAAAAGCTGTGCCTTTTCTTACTGAACTGTAAAATGGAGCCCATGATCCTCGTTGGCAAAAATAAATAAACACCAGACATCTCAGGGTCTTTGGGGACAGATCCCTTGCCCAGACCTGGCTCATGACAGCCAATGAACATTTTGTCGTTTGTGTTTTGGATTAAGAAAATGACTTCTGCATGTCTCCTAGCATCACAAGGAGCCACGAATTGAATTGGTGCCATTGTAGGCTTGATTGTTGTTGCATAGATAAAAGCCTCATTAAGTCCCTCATGAGGAGAGAAAAATTTTATTTTGAGGAACGAGGAGCGATGAGGGCTTCTTTGCTTGTTGTGGTTACAACAACAAAACATGAAATGGAGGAAATAATTAAATAACTGAACTTTTTTTTTCTTTACCCAAACCTTGTCAAGAGGCTGGGTGAGTTTTTAATTAGTGCTGCATTTTCAATAAATCCGGACTGGTACGTGGTGCCGATTCTTTCCTGGATAAGGGAAAGATAATAATGAGAATCTTATTTTTCAGTCCGACACTAAAGGGATGCCTGGTATATTTAATCATGCTGTAGAAATCCTGGCAGCCTTCTCTGAGCCTGGCCTCTGCTCTAATTACATTTCTAGATTTTAGTAAATTGAAAGGGAAAATGTAGGAACAAAATAATTAAAACCGAAGAGGAAGTGCATATTAAAAAGGAGAAGCTGTTTAAAATTCTTGCACACAGTGCTTCCAAGGACATCTACAATCGTTTAATCAGCTCCACACCAAATCAAAGCCCTTTGTGCAGAGGCTGCTGGGATCATATCTCAGGTGGGCAGTGTGGTCCTCACAGTAAAATGGGCGCCTCATTGCACAGAGCCACAGATGGCAATAGGACCTCTTATGGACCTCCAGATCACTGGGGATTCAGGCCCAGTCTGGACAAGCTGCTGGCACAGACTCCATACCCAGAGGGGCCCTCTCCCATATCCTGGGCAGAGGCTAGCTAAACTGTAAGGATTAGTCTCAATTGTAAGGAAGCTGAAACAGATGTCCATTCCTTTCTGCACCTCTTCCCCACGCTCCTTTCCCAAGGGACTCTCTCTTTTTCTCTCTCCCTCTGCTCTCCTGTGAAATCTGAAGTCAAGAGAATAGGTAATTAAACAGTCTCAGTGTCACCAAGAGCTAGTGACTTGTAACTGGTCACTGGGCTACCATCGGAACATTTTGAATTTTTACAAGAACCAAACACCTTTCTGGCTTCAGCTAAAGAGATGAACGTTTGTTGATAATGGTGATTAATGAAATCTAATTGGAAAAGTTTCAGGCAACTGCCTAATAGGTGACAAGAACGCTTTCTGTTTCAGAGGCAAGCACACTAACCACATCATTAGAGAATCTAAGACCTCCAATTTTACAAAATAACAACTTTGCTTGGGCATAGTGGAAAATACCTGCAATCCTAGCACTCAGGAGGTAGAGGCAGAAGGGTCGGGAGTTCAAAGCCAGCCTCTGTTAGTGCGTTTGGGGGCTAGCCAGGCCTATGTGAGATTGTCTCAAAACAAGGACCCAAACCCAAAAACAAAGCAGAAAAACAAACAACAAGGAGAGTAATTTTATCTGGAACGCAGACTGTTAAGTCCTGGGGTTTTTGGAGAGTTTCGTCCATGTCTCCTAAGACATCTAAAACTGGGAACAGGGTCTGCTTTTGTACTTGAAAGTGGAAGGCAGCATGGCACTCTCAAGAGTTCTTTCCAACCCTGAGGCCTGACTCACGGACTGCCAACCTTCCCTGCTGAACAGGCTCACCAGCCACATGGTGCCAAGAATCATGTGGCAAGAGACAGAAGCACAGTCTCCTGGAGACTGTCCCACAGGCCTGGAAAGCAGTAGGGCTCCAGGAAGCTATTCCCAAGACAGGCTGAAACCTGTGCCTACCTCATAACCCACTGGGTCACTGGGGTGCTCTCTTGTCCAGTGCTAGGTGCACGTGTGAGTTGTGTAGGCAAAAGAGACAGACTCTGCTTTGGATTTTGAGGGCTTGATTCAGAAATAATTTTTTTTCCTTAACGTTTAAGGTAAGCAAAGAATGTAAGTAACAACAACAAACATCCCATTGCTGACATCATTACTTCAACATAAAGATGACTATTTTCTTCCAGGGCCATGATGCTCCGAGATGGCCAAGACGTTTCAAGACAATTCTACTCAATTCCGGAATCACTTTTGACCCATGGGAGTTAAAACATGAGACAGACTGGGGACCCAGGTGTCCTAGCCAATAAATTGTCACAGAACCAGCCACCTCTCAACATTTGTGCTCTCTCTCTCTCTCTCTTTCACACACACACACACACACACACACACATCTTATGGTCCTTTGGTTATTGTTTACAAATGCTAATTTACTTATTTGATTTTTGAGACATAGTATTACCATGTAATTCTGGCTGGCCAAGCTGGACTTAAACTCATAGAACTCCTCCTGCCTCTGCCTCCTGAGTGTTGGGGTTAAAGGTGTGCCGCACAGCCTCGGAGTAAAGTACTTTACAAACGTTAGCATTTGCAGGCTAGACTTACTGGACGTGGATCTCTATGAATTTGAGAACAGCTTGTCCACAAAGAGAGTGCCGGGCCAGCCCTGGCTGCATAGGGAGACCCTATCTCAAAAACCGAAACAAACAAAAACAAAATGTAAAAGTTCTTTTCAAAAAAGGTCTCTGGCAATCATTAAAATTAAGAAAACATTTTATTGAGAGTTAAAAAAGAAAGTAAGAGCGAAGTCATCTGTAATCCACATATTGCACATCTAGATTTCAGTTGTGAAATGCCTGTAGCTGCTCCACCAACCCGGTCCCTGGCTCTTATCCTCCTTTATTCCGGCCTCGCACCTCGGCGTGATCTTCCGCGCACCGCACGCGACCCCCTCCGAGTTCCCGCCTCTTCCCACTCTGGCCCCGCCTTCCGCTCAAATTCCGGGGCTCTGGAACCGCCTCGCGACGCTTGCGCACTAGGGAAGGTAGGCGGGGTCTTGAAGAAGGAGGAGCTGGAGGGCCTTGAGCGGGGCGGGGCTGGGCGGGGCAGAACGGGGCGGGGCGAGGCGGGGCGGGGCGGGAAGCCGGGGGAGGAGGCCGCGCGGGGTGGGGCCCGGCGGGTACGCGCTCGCTGCGTCGACGTGCTGACGACAGGACGCCCGGGCCGGTGTGTGTCGGTGTGTATGTGTGTGTATGTGTGTGTATATGTGTGTGTTTGTGTGTGTGTGCGCGCTCCGAGAGTGTGTATTTGTGTATCGGCGGTCCCGCAGGTCCCGGATGTTGCGGGCAGTATGAGGCGAGCGCAGGGGGACAGGGACCAGCAGCTGTCGCCGCCGTTCTCAGGTGAGTGTGTGTGTGTCAAGAGTCGAGGAAGGGGGTTGGCCTGTCGGGGTGCGGGGGTTTTCCTTGAGAAGTGACTGACCCCCCCCTCCCACAAACACACACTTCCCCTCATGTATTATTCTCTACCCCATTTCCTACACCCTGGTTTCATGGCCTGAGGAAGCCAGAGCCTAGTCAGCCGTCTGTTCTTCCTACCTCAAGCATTCAGGAAACACAAACGCGCCCCCTGCCTCCAGCCTCCCTCACCATCATATCCCAACCCCATCCCCCTTGCCAAATAGTGAGCTGTCGCCTGCGGCGAGATGGAGGACTGCGCATGCTCGAATGTGAAGGAGCTCGGGGTGCCTGGTCGCTGCCTCAGGACGCATGCGCATTGCTGTGTTGCAGGGACCTGCGGGATAAAGAGCCCCTTGACCACGCGCCCGCCTTCTTCCCAGGCAGTGCTAGACTTGCCACCCAATAGTGAGCTTGTCGCTTCGATCCGAGAGGGAGAATTTAAATTATGCGAGGGATTTAAGGACAAAGCACTATTCGCATCTGGTGTTGCCCTAGAGACTCCCAGGCTACCAACGCCTCCGAGAGCCAACGTGTCCCACGCTGACCCTCCTTTTGAAACTGAGTGCAACTTCTAGTTCTAGAATTACTTTACTTCCCTTTCCACCACTCCGGTCGTCATGCTGAACCCTTACTACAAACTTTCCCTAAATTTAGGAGTAAGTCCAACTCATTTATTCTGGCAGGGGACTTTTTTTTTTTTAATAGTCTTATTATGAAGGACTAAGGACCATAAAAAAGAAACCACGGTGGGAATTCCTTTTTAGTAAAATCCAGAGTTGCCTTTAGAGAGTTAGGCAAGGAAGGGGAAAGTGTCACACACAGTTTAAGGCTTAGGGTAACAACAAAACCAGAACGGAAATGAAGAGCTCAGGAGCTTCATCTCAGTTGTCTGACCTAGTTGGTTCTTTGCTGGGGAGGGGGGAAGGGGGGGGCAGAGTTCTTCCATAGTCTTTCAGTTTAGCTGTACGTAGCTGATGTTCTGTGGCCATATGAAAACAGAGGCAACCTGAAACAATTGAACAGCTTGCCCAGAAGTATTAATTTTAAATAAAGAGAGTGATAATTCTTTCATATGGGCAAATCCCCCCCCCCAAATTAAACTGACGAACTTTACATAAATATTTCAGTGACTTAGGATTTGGAGTTTCAGTCTACGGAGTATACTTAATTCTTTAGTTTGCTGCTATATTGTCACTCTTAGAAACTTTGTCTTACCTCTCTCTACCATAGGGGTGGAGAGGTTTGTTTCCGTTTTGAGACAATCAGTCTCATATAGCCAGGACGAGTCTGGACTGCCTATGCAGACCAGGTTGGTCTCTACTGGAGTTACAGGTATCTGCTTGCCTCTGCCTCTCAGGTGTTAGGTGTACACCACCACATCTGGTCACAAAGATAAACTCTTTACTAGCAAAAGGTTTACTGAATTGTATGGAAATGAATAGCTAAATTGTTGTTAGGTGGGAAGAATGGAAAAGGGAGGGGCATTTTCTGTTTTTCGGTTGGCTGGCTAACCTAATGTCTCAGCTAGACTCCTGGGAGTGGGCCCTAAAACAGCCTTATTTTGAAATTCCCTTTCCTTTGTGTTCATTCTTGGGTATTCTCACAAGACTTATTTGGTTGCCTTGTTAACTTTAGGACCTTAGGTTCCTGGACTTTAAAGTATGTATACACTTTTCACTTCCTCATTTAACACTGGCCTTTATGTGGCTCAGGTGTCTATTGTGCTGTTTCCGGTTGCCATGTTGCACTTGGAGCCAAGGGATTTGGGAATTGGGGGGAACATATGTCATCTGTGTTGGAAAAGAGCTGGCTACTCTGCGCCCCCCCCCCCCAATAGTATAAATTACTGTGCTCACTCCACATTGAACATTAGGATAGTTGGTGTCCTTTCCGTATTTTGGTGACTATACCTTTTAAAAGAGTTATTACAGTGGCTAGTTTGGTAGTTGGAAATAATGTGGCCTACCTCCATACTTAGACCAGGCTCTAGTAGAATCTAGAAGTGAAACTATTGAGGTAATGCTTGTCTTTCTTCTAAGTAGGCTTTCTTCATCTAGGATGCTTTGTTCTTATCTGAAAACATTTCATTTCTAAATTCACTTAAGCCTTATTTAAATTTTCGATGGTACAAAAGAATGGACCGCTTTTAGGATTAAGATAAGTTGTTAATTCATATTGGCACAGAAATTTGTTTAAAAAATAAAAGGTAATACAAACAAACGTGAAAAAAAATTCAAAAGGTACACAGTGAGAATGAAAAACCTTCTGTCATTCTCCTCCTGCCCATCAAGTTACCCAAGGCAACATCGTCTCCTTCCAGAACCCATACATTACAAATACATATATCTACTTATTCTCTGGTATCTGTTTTTCACAAATGGTGAGACACTATATCCAATTTTTACTTTTTCACTCAATTTGTCTTGGTGATCATATAGTGTCTGTAGTATCTTTTTAAAAAAGTAGCAAAGGTTGCATTGTATATGGTAGATCATCATTTAGCCAGTTCTTTCTTAACAGTAGGTTTACAGAGCCTCAGTTCATTTTTTATGTATACTTAGGTGTCTATTGGATTAATTTATTTTTGTGAATGTGCCAGATCAATGGATGTATGCATCTTTAATGTTGGCAATATTGCTGAATCATTTTCCACAGTGGTTTATGAATTTATATTATTGCCAACAGCTCATCTGCCTGTTTCCTAACCAACACTATCATACTTTAAAAATAAATTTTAGTGTTTTCTCTGAGATTTTAAGTTCATTATATAGTTTCCTAAGTTTCATTACATTGAGGAACTGTGGATACATTCTGTTACTGTTCTGTATGTTAAGGGTGTTAAAGGATATGCCTCAATCAAAGAACAATGCTATTAGAGTAAAGTCATATGCCTGGAGAACAGTAAGCCCATGGCAGTACTAGGAAGGTGTATAGACTTGTATTTCAGTTTCTTCCTTTTCACTCATATTCTAGTTTCTTTCCGTGGAACTCCAAAAGCTTATGTGACATATCGTCTGATGTCCTTTTGGTAGCTATGACTGAAAGTACGTTACTTGCTTTTTGTTGTGTTGAAAAGGTAACTCAATTGTTAAGGTACTGTCTATTATCTCCACCAGAATGTTGGTCTTAGCAGTCTTCTGATTACAGAATACCTTACTGTGAGCTGTAAGGAAATGAAAAGGCTGGGTATGTTGGAGTACACCTTTAATCCCAGTACTCAGGAGGCAGAGGCAGGCAGACCAGGCTGATCTACATAGTTAGTTCTAGGCCTGCTTGAACTTCATAGTGAGAGTCTCACCCCAACAACGCCACCCCCCCTCCCCCCAAAATGAATGAATGAAAAGATTTCTGCGCTTAAAGGATATTTTGATCTTTGGAAAATCTGATGTACTAAATATATGAAATAATAAGAGTTAAAAAGTAAAATATAGGCCTTTAATCCCAACACTTGGAAGACAGAGAGAGGTGGATCTCTGTGAGTTCAAGGCCAGCTCTGGTCTACAAGAGCTAGTTCCAGGACAGGCTTCAAAGCTACGGGGAAACCCTTTCTCAGAAAACAACAAACAAACAAACAAAACAAATGCTTGCATGCTTTTGGGGCGATATGGGTACATGCTTTTAATCCCAGCACTCGGGAGGCAGAGGCAGGAGGATCTCTGTGAGTTTGAGGCCAACCTGGTCTATAAGAGCTGGCTCCAGGACAGGCTCCAAAGCTGCAGAGAAACCCTGTCTCGAAAAACCAAAAAAAAAAAAAAAAAAAAAAAAAAAAGGAAAGAAAGTAAAATATAAATAGTATGCTTGTGTTCTGTACTGAGAAGACCTGCAAAGGAGGGATCAACAGTTGAAGGAAAGTTTGTTTTGAGGGGTTTCTGAAAAAAGTGTATGTTGAGATTTAAGTTTTTTTCCAACTGTTGAAATGAAAGTTTAAAGAGATAGAAAAGTAGAAAGGATGGTATACTTATTACCTTCTGTCCATCACTGTGATTGTTCACATTTTTATTGTATTTTATTTTATTTTTTAATTTTGTTTTTTCAGACAGGGCTTTTCTGTGTAGCCTGGCTGTCCTGAAACTCACCATGTAGACCAGGCTGGCCTCGAACCTGGAGATCTGCCTGCCTCTGCCTCCCAAGTGCTGGGATTAAAGGCATGAGCCACCACTGCCCAGTGTATTTTAAAGTTTATATGTGATATATTTTATGATGTATAACATACAAACTTTTATATATTGCAGATATATTTCAACCCTTATATGTATCTCCTTGAAATACATTGTTTTACTCGCTTATTCTTTTTTTTTAAATATTTATTTATTTATTTATTTATTTATTTATTTATTATGTATACAATACTCTGTCTGTGTGTATGTCTGCAGGCCAGAAGAGGGCACCAGACCTCATTACAGATGGTTGTGAGCCACCATGTGGTTGCTGGGAATTGAACTCAGGACCTTTGGAAGAGCAGGCAATGCTCTTAACCACTGAGCCAACTCTCCAGTCCCATTACTCGCTTATTCTTGCAGTATTAGTCACAAGTCAATAATGAGTATTTTTAAATTTTATTTTATATTTTGAGACAGGGTTTCCCTATGTAGTCCTGTGGCTGGACTAGAGTTCACCATATAGACCAGACTCAGATTCATAGGTAATCACCTGCCTCTGCCTCTCAAGTCCTGGAATCAAAGGCAAGTATTACCATACCTGCCATTGTTTGTATTTTTTCCCCCTTCAAACATGTATGTCTCTTTAGTCTCAAAACTATTTGAAGTTACTCAGGATAAGTGGCTTTTGCTTTTTTAAGGGACCAGACCATTTGCGTTCCAAGGTATATCATCTCTTGGAATTTTCTGATTTTTAAAAAATTAAAATTTTTAAAAATATTTTTGGTTTTAATAATTTGTTCTTTTATCAGTATAAGCTGATATTGAGACCTAAAGGCTTGGTTA